TTGGAGCTGGTTGGTTGATTGGTTGATTGGTTGGTTGGTTGGTTGGTAGGTTGGTAGGTTGGTAGGTTGGTTGATTGGTTGATTGGTTGGTTGGTTGGTTGGTTGGTAGGTTGGTAGGTTGGTCGGTTGGTTGGTAGGTTGGATGGATAGTTGGTTGGTTGGTTGGTTGATTGGTTGGTTGGTTGATTGGTTGGTTGGTTGGTTGGTCCGTTGATTGGTTGGTTGGTAGGTTTGTCGGTTGATTGGCTGATAGAGTGATTGATTAAATAAATTGCTAACTGTTTGTAGATTTGTTTATAGGTAGGTTTCAGTGTTGGATGGCTGGTTTGCTAGTTGATTGATTGATTGGCTGGTTAAATTTATGAATAATTGATTAATTAGATTGTTGATTGACTAATTGATTGAATTTACAACGATTTCTTTATGTATTTTGTCAGTTGTTTTATTATCTTAATGCAAATTAAGTTCTTTTAATTTAAAAAAAATGTTGTTTAGCAAATTGTTTTATAAAAACATTTTAAGGAATTTAGGATCTTTGAAAATTATGATTTTACCAGTTTTGTTTATTAGAGATGTAAAAATTTAAAAAATAAGATAAAAAATATATTTAGTTTTATTAATAAATAAAAACAAAATAAATGAATGAATAACAAAATGATTTGTGATTCCGACAGCATATTTCACAATGACAGTATCTGGCATCCTACTGGTTCTCTCTCTTCTCGTTATCTCCCTCATCTGCCTCGTCAAACATTACAGGTTGTAATGATGATGATGATGATAATGAAGATAATTAAGATGATGAAAAGGATAATGATAATTATGGCGATGGTGATGATATGAATGATGATGATGGTGGTGGTGATGATGATAATAAATACTGAAAAAAGAAAAAGTCGATGATGATTGTTGTGATGGTGATGATTGTTGTGGGATGTGATGATGATGATGACTAGAACAATGTTCATGATGATGATGATGATGATGATGATATGATGATGGTAATAGTAGTAATGGTGATAATCATGTGATGAAAAAAAAACAAAACAAAATAGGAGCCAAACATAAAAAATGGCGATTCAATTCAATGGCGAATTAAAAAAGTATTCAGAAAATTCAGAACTTCAATTGAAAAATTAAACATTTTTCACCAATTTTCAATGAATAATTTTTATTTTATTTCGTGAAAAAATTTCTCACCTAGACGTTTAATATTTTACCCCATCAAATCAAATTTTATTATCCTCACTTCACAGTTTGTATTGTATTGCATTTTCTTTTGTATGTTTTTTGTTTGTTTTTTTTTGTTTGTCTGTTTTAAAGATAATTTGATATTTTTGGGATTTGATTGCGTGATTATATAATTTTAATTTTTTCCATTATTTTTATTACAGAATGACTTCAATTTCATTCTCTCAACTTTTTTCTCCAGCACTCTCTTTATCTCACTTTCTTTCTTTCTCTCTCTCTCTCTCTCTCTCTCTCTCTTTCCATCTCTTTCTTACCTTTTTTCATGTTTTCTTTTTCTCTTTCCCTCTCTTTCCCATTCTTTCAATTCTTTATAATTGAACTCTATCTCTCTCTTTTTATCTTTCTCTTCTTTTCAAATTTTTAACTCTCTTTATATTTGTCACTTTCTTTGCTCTATCCGAAGTTTTTTTAATTTGCTATCTCTCTCTATCTCTCTCTCTATCCTTCTTTTTCTCTCTCTTTCATTTTCTTTTTCTCTTTCTCTCTACTCCTTTACTCTCAACTTTCACAATTTTATTCTATTCTAAGTTATTTTAATTTGCTGTTTCTCTCTCTCTCTCTTTTTCTCTCTCTCTGCTTTATCTTTCTCATTCTTTTTTTCTTTCTTTCTTTCACTTTCTCTATCTTTTCCTCGTTTACTTTCAACTTTTGATTTCACAATTTTACATTCAGTTATAATTTGTTCTCTCCATTCTTCACCGCACTCACACCTCACGATTAGCCCAAGGTAGGGCATCAACTGCATGCTTCTCAGCGAGTCTCCTCGTTTATGGTTTGCGAGGATTCAATTTTTATTGTTTTCTTTGTATCGAAGGTGTATTTTTTGGTATTTTGTCATTTGGATTTTTCGTATTTGTTTTTTAATGTTGGCTGATGTTAATTTTATAATGTATCAGTTTTGTCGCAATTAATTTTGAAAAGCGTTTCATTTTTTTTTGATGATTTTATTATTAATTTTTTTTTCAAAAATTCCTTTTATTATTTAAATTTTTATATTTATTTCCTTACTTCATATTTCTTTCATTTGCATCACCATCCATTCATCTTGACTTATTATATTTTTTACAAAAAGCATTACTGAGCCGTGCAAATGATGGCAATAAACTACCCTCCAGCCAAACATGAAAAACTTTATTTATTAACTCAATTAGGAACAATAAACACGAAAACCAATACAGATATGAATGTGATTTCTTGCCCAACTATACAATGTTCTTGGACAACTCTATACACATTTTAAACACTCGTTCAACAATGTGCCCCATAAATTTACAAAACTAAAAAAATACCAAATCAAATCAAAAAATTTAAATGAACATGAAAATAGATTTCTGAGTTATAATTCTTTCATTTGCAAACAAATTTGTAAATATATTACATGTAAACACAAGCCTACATACGAAGACACTTTACACAATCACTCAAACATAGAAACACCTTTGAGAGTAGATATACAACATGCAAAGACACACACACAAGTAAACAAACTAACAAACAACCAGCCAACCAAACACATAAATAAATGAGCAGAGGTTTTTATAGTTAAAACAAATGAGTCTCACACATATCTGTCAGACGATCAACTCCTCTCTCGCTGCAAACATGCAAGCGCGCGAATGCACACATACACACACATACACACACACGCAAGCACACACACACGCAAACACACACACACGCAAACACACGCAAATACAGTTTGATTCTTTTGTTCACACAAGTAGATATTTTTTACAAGAAATAATTTTTTTATTTTCTCCAGCACCATCATATTTCTCATTTTAATAAAACTTTTACTTTAAGTTTACTAATAATTAATGTTAAAAAATTACATAAAGTAAAAACAATTGAAAAAACTTGCAAACAAATTATTCATTTTGTTGTAACCTTTGAACGCTCGTTACTACCAACACCAATTTTATAAACTTTAAACGATCTCTATATTTCCATCACCAGTGATGTAGCTTCCAACAAAATTTTTGATAGATGAACACAGCTGCTTCAAACGCAAACTTTGTTGAACTTTTATTTGATTGCTAGCAGTAATAGAAACACCAAACTAATCCGAGTAACTACATAAATCACATTTACGACTTCGCTTCAAACCTCGCTTTTGACATCGCCACTCTGCTCCTTATACAGTCTCTGCAGTAGATCTTTACAATCCTCTATGGTATGAAAAGATTCTATAGTTAACAACCGATTGACGAGTAATAAAGATAACAAATATAACAAGATTACGATAATTAATTATATAACGTAATTCCACCATTCCCGCGGTTTTTACGATATTCATCTATCCTAATTTTCATCCGTTGAAATCTTTCCAAACCATCGCAAATAACGTACATCCACAAACGTGTTAACCTTGACACGCGCATAAAACACATGCACACGCACATGAAAAACATACACCTGCACACACATCTCCACATGCACACACGTACACGCACATACACGTGTGTGCACGCACACGAACATGAAAATAAAAATGTGTATCCAGCGCAAAATGCGAAGGATGTACGCGTTTATTTATTTATTTATATACGTCACACTCACGACCATGACGTCAGACTCCTTTTATTCTTCTGCACTCGTTTGTGAAGCGCAACTTGTGACGTCACTGCTGCTATTTTTATTCGTACGTCATTTCTTTTTTATTTTTTTATAGATCTCTTTTTTATTTTGCTAAATTATTATTTTTTCTTTTTTATTTTGCTAAATTTTTTGTCGTTTCGTTTTCACCTTTTGAGAGCATTCCATTACTTTTGCTGATAACTTTCTCTTGAAAGTTTTCCCTGGTATTCGTTTGTTTCCATTTGAGTTTGAATGTCGATTCTTTCATTAGTGCAAACATCTGTTGATTAAAACTTTTGCTTGGAAAAATTTAAAGTTGCAGGGTCTGCAAGAAAAATTATTTTTTGAACAACAAATAAACAAACAAACAAATAAACAGAAAATTAGTTGCCCAAGAAACCAAAGATGACGATCTATCGAAGCAGAAGGACGATCCAACCGCTGCAATCAGCACACCCATGCTACCAAACATCAACAACAGCAACAACAACATCAGCAACAACAACATCAACTACTACACAACATCAACAAACCACCATCAACAACATCTGCAAATGCAACAAAACAATTTCAACAATTCAGCAACAACGACTAGGACAAACATCGTGAAGAGTTTGTATTCAGATGGCGTCCTCTATGAGACGACGTTTGATGCTGTGAATGTTGCAACGTGCGACCAACAGTCTTGCAACAACAAGGACAACACACATTTTAACAGTTGCGATGATCCCAACTTTGTTGCGCACAATCCCGGAAACGTGAATGATTACAAAAACTCTAAATACAACAAGCGTCTGCTTCATTTCAACTCTCAAAACCACAACAACAAACACAACATCATCACCACCACCACCACCAACAGCAACAACATCGCATGCAACAGCAACACATTCAACAACAGGCCCCACAACAAAACCAACAACATCATGTTTAACAACATCAACAACGACAACATAAACAATAACAACAGCATCGCCAACAATTATTGTAATGTATCTACCTTGCCAATAAACCGAATGCTCATGAAAGAGAACACCGCCAAGCCATCGGTCACGTTCTGCAACAACGATGTAACATTCTACAACCACACACATAGACCGCATCACCAACAATCACGCCTTTCATCAAAATCTCAACAACATTTTTTAAACAATTTGTCAGCCCTATCTCCAACATCTCCCACGAACGTCTCAAACTCCACAATCGGCAACCCCATAAATGTGACCAATCAGCCAAAGAAGTTGCTAAACCCGCCACTCGTGGAGATGCTGGCGCATAAAAACGTTCAAAATCAGCAAATAGGTCAAACCGATTTTAATAAATTTGTTACCATCAACAACAACAGCAACAGCAACAGCAATGATGTCATAATCAAGAATGACATCAGCAGCAACGACATCAAGAGTACTAACACTTTTGTAAGCAGCAAGCCAAACAACAACACAATTAATGTAAACAAAAACAACAACAACAGCAACAACAACAACATAAAAACAGACAATCAAAGATCGTATACATGCCAGACCGTTAACAGAAATTTCAACAACAAACTCATCAACACCAACAACTCAACTTTAAATAACATCATCCACAACAACTTATCGCCGCCAAAGAACATTATCAATAACTGTTTCACCACATGCAATAACATTACCAACAACAACCTCCCAATTTCCTCTATAGAATCCAACAACACAACGTCAACAACATCAACGACATTGACAAACAACAACAACAACAGCACTTCAATGACAAACAACAACAACATCAATGACGACGAAGATAACAATCGTTACATTAAATTTCCCATGAACAATCGTCAATTTGACAATGATACGATAATGTTTTAAAAACGTTTATGACCTAATAAAGGATTAATGATAGTTTGATTGATTGATTGAACAAATGACTGATTGATTGATTGGTTGATTGATTGATTGATTCATTGATTGATTGATTCATTGATTGATTCATTGATTGATTCATTGATAGAATAGTAGATTGATCGGTCAGTCGGTCAGTCGGTTGGTTGGTCAAACTGTCTGGCTGGTTGATTGGTTGATTAATTGGCTAGCTAGCTTGTTGGATGGTTGGCATTTTAATCTATTTTTATACACACACACAAACAATGTAACAATTATTCTGTACATATAAACAACTTCGTTTTATCGAAACTTCGCTATAAACGTCCCATCTAAATGATTTAACTAACTTGAGTGGACAAGATGTTACTGGACAAGAATTAATTTCAAACTTGTAATGTCAGTAATTCATTTCAATTTAATTTGATCACAAAACGTTGATGAAATGTACGCTAATGCGAAATGTAAATAAATATAAATAAAAAAAAAACATTTTTATTACTATATTTATTATTATTGTTATTATGATTTAATATTATCATTATTATTTTATTACATTCACGCCAAAGAATTTATTCTAATTAAATTTTTTTAAAAACATTTATCATTGAGGCTTACATATTTAATTTTTGAATATTTTTTTTGATTAAAACTTAATCAAACGTTGTTTTACGTGGTTCTTTCACTGCAAAATTAATTAAACAATTATCTTATTTCATTTGTGTTACTCCTTATTTGTGAAAAAACTTAGTTATTAACCGATTAATTAAATTAACAAACATAATTGAATTAAAAATAATGAAAGCCAACTATACTATATTTATTAAGAAATGTTTACTTGACTTCAATTTTTCTTAGTAACAATACATTGTTATAATTCTTCATGGAAGAAAAAATTTGCCGTGAAAACTGAACAAATGTAACACGCTGCTAACTATTAATTGTCGTGAAATTGTGATAACAATCTATTATAACTATTTGTATTTTATTTTTATTATTACTCCCAATGTGTATTTTTTAGTTTAGTTCTTATATTAATTTCATTAATATTATTGCTGTTGTTTTTATTGTTGTTGTTAATGGTGTCATTGTAAGAGCAGGATTTAAAAAAGTATATGTGTGTGTCTGTGTGTGTGTGTTTATGTGTGTGTGCGTGTATGTGTCTGTCTGTGTATGTGTGTGTGTTTTTAATATTCATTTATTGTGTTTCAGTATGTGAAAGTTGCAATAATATTGTCCAATACTATATGAAAAAAACACTTGATGTATTGTTTTATCTTTGTTTAAGGTAAAAAAAAATTATTAGATCTGATTACATTTTTTTATAAAAAATATGGAAAAATTAACCATAAATGTAATTATTTACGTTCAATAATAAAAAATTTTACCATAACTATTTTTAAAAATAATAATTATTATTTTTTTTTATTATTAATAAAATTATTATTAATTATTATTTTAATTCTAATAATTTCTATTTTTTTTCTTATTTTAATCGTCCACAAATGTTATAACACGGTTTACATGTTACGATTGATTGTCGAAATAAATCAGCCATTGGTTCTCGTGTTTCGTCTCTAATAGTTCACGGCCTAAGGTTAGCGAGGCATATTATTTCGACACTTTATCATCATATCGTCATCATCGCGGCCATCAGCGTCGTCGTCATCATCATCATTTTCGAGAAAATAATGGTTTTGTTGTAGTAATGTTATCATCAGCAAACGATGTTACCATTATCATGGGATCTTTTTAATTTTTGCAGTTTTTAAGCCAACTTCCATTTTAATAATACTCTACTTTTTTATAGTTTCATTTTTAATCATTCTTGATTTCAATTAATGGTTATTGTTTTCATCACCACCACCATCATCACCATCATCATTTTCATCATCATCAACATCATCATCATCATCATTCATCATCATCATCAACATCACCATCATCATTCATCATCATCATCAACATCACCATCATCATTCATCATCATCATCACCATCACCATCATCATTCATCATCATCATCACAATCACCATCATCATTCATCATCATCATCATCATCAACATCATCAAAGTCATTACCATTTATTTTCTAATCATTCTACCCCAATTTTCGTAGTTTCAGTCACAACCATCGTCATCATCATTCTCAGCTAGTGGTGCAATTTAGTTTTGATATATCGAAGTTTATTCGGGTATAAATCCCGGATATATCGGATACACAATTGGTAAGAGTGTAGAGTATTCGATATTTGTGTGTTTGCACTGGTTGCAATGCTGCAGAGACACTTTGTTATAACGAAGTTCGATGTATTCGAGTATATAATGAAAGAATGTGATTAGGTCGGTTTAATTGGATTGTAAAGGCATCGAGTGTTGATGGTTGTAAGAATGAAGAAGAAAAAGATGATGATGATGATGGTGGTAGGGGTGATGATGATGATGATGATGGTGCTGGTGGTGGTGATGAGGACGATGATGTCAATGATCACAATGATGATTGTAATGATGAATGATAATAATGATAATAAAAAAGAAGATGATGCATATGACGACGACGACGATGATGATGATGAGAATAATTACGATTGCGCTAACGATGTTGATGATGACGATAATATAATATGAACATGTTTCCGAGCGAAAGAACTCCATGTTCAGAATGAACTCAATGTACTTACTCGCAGTACTTAATAGCTCTAAGTACTTTTTAGATTTTCTCGTTAAAAAGAGGCCTCTCTCTCTATAATGACTCCTTCACGAGCGGAAATAATGAGAAAAATATCATTCGAATTGTTGCGTTACGTTCGGAGACGACAGTTTCTTCATGCCGATTGCTCTTCCTTTCAACAATGTTTAATTGTTTAGCTACGTCTAGGGATTTTAGGGATAATTTTCAATCTGAATTTATTAATTTTTTTGAAAAACTGTAACATTCAATGAATAAGATAAAGAATAATTAACCAAGTGTTGTTAGTTTATTTTATGAAAGTCTATGGTAGCAAAACGAATCGATATATAAAGAGTTTGAACTTGTTTACAAGAGCTTCACCACACATTCTCGCTTATATCTGTAGAGTGTAAAATTATTACTGAATAGAATGTTTGAGAAAAAAAGCAGACCCACAAACAAGGCTCGTAAGCATACATGCATATGGATGTAACAACACAAGAACAACGCACAAACCTATGCCTATACACATACATACATATATATATATATATAAACATATACAAACATATATACAAAAACATACAAACGGATATGACAACATATACACACAACAACTCGCAAACCATTACGTTCAAATTCATCAACAAACACACACACACACAAACAAGCAGACATAAACAGTGATACAGATCACATTTCATGTTTATTGCCAAGATTGTTCGTATGATTGTTGTTCTACGCAGAGACAATAACACAGACATGGGACGCACTTCGTTTAGCATTCATTGACTTTATTGTGCTGTTTGTATTTCTGTAGTGCGCGCGTGTGTGTGTACGTGTGTGTGAGTGTGTGTACGTGTGTGTGTGTGTGTGTGTGTGTGTGTGTGTGTGTGTGTGTGTGTGTGTCGGTGGGTATATGAATGAGTATACAAAAGTATTTTTACATATTTGTGGAGATGTATATGAGTGAGTCTTTATGTGTTGGTGTGTGTTGTTGTGTGTGTGTTTTTATGTGTGCTACGTGTGTGTGAGTGAATCAGTTTGTGTGCATGCTATCGGAAATATTAATAGCACTGGAAAGTTGCTTCATGGAAAAAGTGTTGTTTATCGCCTAGTTGGAATGAAGCAGCGTCACCAGATGGAGTGCCGGTAAGCAAGTGAAAGACGGCTAAAAATGATTATTAAAATTCAAATAATATTATAAAGTTTTTTTATTTATTTGTTATAAAAAATGACACAGAGGCCAAAATCAAGTTTACTATGAAATTTTGTAAACAAAATAGAAGTGATAATTAAAGCAAATTCAAGCATTCAAAATGATTTGTGATCATATATGAACATATAGAGAGATCTTTCATTTGTATTAACAACAAATCGAAATAGTTATAGTCAGTTTTAGAAACACAAGCAACACAAACGTTATAAAAAACACACAAAAACACGATCATAACAACCTTGAAAACTAAGATTTTTTGAAGAAAAAAAATAGTAAAAAAATGGCGAAACAAACATGTAAAAACCTTGTGAAGATAGTTACAACAATTTTAAGAAAGATAATGCACGTCATAAAATAAAAAAAAATTGTCAGTGTCTTTTTTACTTCACTTGTTCTTAAAGCATGAACGACACATACATACGCACATACCAAAACCACACAGACACACACACACTGACACACACACGCGCGCGTAAACCTCGCATCACACACATTTCACGTGATGAAAGATGTTTAATAGGGATGGTCGATTCTTATTTGAAACTAGGCAACTTAAAAAACAACAACCATTACTACTGTCGCTACTACAACTACTATTACTACTACTACTACTACTACTACTACTACTACAACTACTATTACTACTTCAAAGACAACAACAACAGAGATAACAACAAAAACAAAGACAACAACAACACAAAAGAAAACAACAAAGACTGCCAACAACAAAAGCAAGAATGGCGTCACGAGGGGTTTTGCGCCAGATTAAGTAGCTGAACTAATGCTGGCTGCAATGAGATAATGAAAATATTGTGTGAGGTGAATGCAAGGAAAAATATTTCTAACAGAATTTTGTCTTTTGTCGTTGCTTCTTCGCTTTTCAATGTTTTGTATTTTTGTTTGTGTGTCGGTTTGTATGTTTGTGCGTATTTGTGTTTGTTGTATATTTTCGAGTGAGTTTGTATGTTTTTTTAGTGCGTGTGTTTGTATGTTTTTTGTGAGTGTTTGTATGCGTGTTGGAATTATTTTTTGTTTGTTTGAGGCCTGGTTGTTGTTTACTATAATGGCTTTGTATATAAAATTAAACAGATGACAAAAATTCACTTTAATCTTATTCTGTGATGTATGTGCTCTTTATTATTTGGTATGTATTATATTACAGGTTCTGTAACATTTATATATCATTATTCCTATATGACATTTTGTTTCGTCTCGTTTGTGTTGGAAGTTTATAATTTCAATCAATAATTCAACATGATCTCATGTTGAACTTGAGCTCGCTATTGTTTGTTACAAATTTTGTGAGTTTTTGCTTTTGTCTTACTGCGTTTTGTTTAGCAGTTTTTAATAATTTTTCATTTTCATGATTTTTAAATAAAGTTGCGTCATTTTTAATGTTGAAATTAATTTATAATGATTTTAAAACATTTAATTCGTTTCCAAAATCTTCACAGGAATGTATCAAAGTACTTTACGTTTTTAGACTCTTTTAGTTGTGTTTGATTAAATTACCTTGCAACAATTGGTTTTGTCATACAAGTATAACACGAGTCAAACTATTTTTAAAGGGCTTTTATGTTTTATTAGTGAAGAAAAGCAATTTTATAAAATTTATAACTCAGTACTGTATGCAATTGATATTTGTCAAATATACATATTTGACAGATTTTATGTTTTTTAACACACCTATATGAAATAATTTTTTTAATTTGTATAAGATTCTTTGTAACATCTAGCGAATCAGATTATTTTAACTTGTTTATTCACTCAGTTCACATAGTTTATTTTTTTACTCTCACCTTATAAAGTGGTTATATAATTTCAGGACTCTGTTAATGGAAAAAAAAACCCCTGTCGCCCTTTGACTATAACTCTGTCATTAATTCATCATTTAAATTTAAAATATTGTGGGATTCGATGAAAAAACAAAGAAATGAGACTACAAAGTTAAATAAATAACAGGTTTTCTGAGTCGAATTTTAATCCAAGCATAAAATATAATGGATACCAATGGATTTATTAGGATCCAAACTAAGTGGATAATAGATGAATTGGTCGTAAGATGACTGGCTCGTTTCAAAGAGACCTTCCTTTCCGTGTTTTATGACGTAATTGCAGTTACTTCCTGACGTCATTTTGGTCTGATGAGATGATAACGATGAGGAATACGATGATGATGATAATAATAATAATAATAATAATGACTCCACAGCTTAAGATGGTTGATGAAAATGATTACGCTTAAAATAAACATTCACCATCGCAACAATCATAACATAGCATAACATAAAACCACAAAATCATACAAACAACATATACTTAAACGCCAGGCAAAAACATACAAACAAAGATATACAAACATTAGCATACATAAAGACCAAACAACCATATACAAACAGCAGCACCATCACTCAAACGTAGACATGTGACTGCATCTCTGAAAGCAAACAATCCCATCGGTCAAGCAAGTAATTAAACCATTACGACGATATTGCTCCACCAAATTAATGAATGTATCTCGTTTTTCGTACTAGTAGACATATCAACCTAGATGTTAGTTGCAATGAATGGTTTTGATAGTAGCAATGGTGATCATTTGGATTCCAGTCAAAGATAACGATGATAATAACTTTTAATAAAACTTAAAGTAGCTAAAAACATAAATTTCAAGTTAATTAACTTTAATCCCAACTAACTAATTCAATTAAAATTGTGTCATCATGTAAGATAACATCGCAATTCGAAATCATCCATTTCCCCCGTTCTGACGAGCTTGAAGACATTCGTACAGGCTTAAATTGGCACTCTTGACATTATGAACTCTGCTCTCTGTGACTCGCTGATTAAAAATCTTGGATGAAGAAGTCAAAGCACAAGTGCACATGTAAATATATACATACACGCGTACCCACACATGGACGTATACACACACACGCATACGTTTTAACATACATAAGCCATGAACACACTTACATAGAAAAGTAATCCAAAATTTAGAGGAATGTACAAGATTTGTTAATAGAATATGATGATGATTTATCATTTTAAATAAAAAAAAATTTTTCCAAAAAAGTTAAACGGATGACTGAGATTTGTTAACAGAATAAGATAGTGGGTTCGTGATAGTAGATTAGCTTTCTTTTTTAAGGCACCTTTTAATATTTTGTTGTAAAATCATAAAAAAGCCAAAAACCTCATCCAAACTTGAAGTTTAAATAAACCATTTAAATATTAATAGGCACGAAGGAAAAAGATATTAAAATATGGTGGTGGCGAAGAAGAAGATGACGAAACAATGGCAAAAAATACAAAAAGATGATGGCGATGATGGTGATTATGATGTACAAGATGGTGACGACCGGAAAAATGGAAATAATAATAATAATAATAATAATAATAATAATAATAAAGAGAAGGCTGACCTCGCTTGGTCGATGGCTTGCAGAAATGAGATAAGAAATTATAACGATTGGCTGGATGTGCAGAGCTGCATGGATGAATCGGACCCGAGCGAGATCATGAAATTTGAAAGAAGTCATTTGTGGTAAAAAAAAAATTTTGGAGCTATTTTTAAATTTTAATTTTTCGGATTTTAAAATTTAGATTTCGCAACTTGCACGATGTTTATGATGTGCAAATGCTTACATGTGATTACTCATTCATGTATCACTAGATGATCTTTCATGCGATAATGTTCAGGAAATGTGTGTTAAATATATGAAGTAAAAACATGGAAAGAAAAAGAGAGAAAGAGAGAGAGAGAAAAAGAAAGAAAAAAAATTGGAGAAAAAGAATGAAAGAGAGAGAAAAAGAGAAAAATACATAAAAAAAGAACGAAAGAAGAAGGAAGTGAGTGAGAGGCAGAGAGAAACAAAAAATAGGAGGAAAAGAGAGAGAGAAGGAGAGAAAGAGAAGGAGAGAGAGAAGAAGAGAGAAGGGAAAAGAGAAGAAGAGAGAGGAAAAGCGGGAAAGAAAGAGAGAGATATTTATTTCAGAGATGACCGACAGCTGGATGAATGTGACTGGTTGGTAAGGGGATACGATCTTTTGATGGCAGAGATAAGCACATACAAATTGCATATACAAAGGCTTATGTGCTTATATTAAACATGCACGTATAAGCACAAGTAAATATACATGCAAACGTTTATAAATACATAATCTATTAATTTATTTGATAAAACTAAATGCTCTTTATTATAAAATAAAATTATAAATGTTTTTTTAATAATTCTCTATAAACATTATACACCAATGTATTTGATTTATTGCAAGGCGTGTTAGTTCGCGATTGGACATTGCCTGACTAATATATCTGTTCGCTTCATTTCTTTTTTGCAACATTTTTTGTTTTTGTTTTTTTTTTGCTGATTCAACCAGTTTATATATAACACTATAAGTTACAATATTTTCTTTTAATTGCTTATTTATATAGGTCAATCTCGGATTTACTTGCATATTAATTTGTAACTGGTATTATAATTCACAATCATATTATTTTCTAATTAATCCTTAAAACAACCATTGGATTTTTTTTTCAATTCTATAAACACGGGAAAATAACTTCCTTGCTCCGTGAATGATAATGGAACAACATGCATGCTTTGTAATATATGGTAGCGCTAACGATGTTTGGCTATCTATTCCATGCAACCTTAACAAATAGGTGCACAACGTTAAACTTATAAACTTGTTAAACTTTTGTTAAACTTATAAACTCAGCAAGAAAAAAAAATTCAATCAGATTATTAATGAGAGTAAAAAATCTTCAAGAGAAGGAAAAATGAGGTGCAAGTAGAAGGAAATTTTGTAAATAAAGATACAAAATTGGAAAAAATGAAGAAACAAAAGAGAGAAAAAAAAGAAAAAACGAGAGAGAAAGATGGAAAAGAGCATAGAGAAAAAGTGAGAGAATAAAAAGGAAGAGAGGGAAATGAACGGAGAACGAGAGGGGTACTATTGGCTGTGCATGGTCAATCCATTAGAATAACAGTCCTGCGTTTTTATGCTTTATTTATCGCCAGACATTTCGATATTAATTCTAATATTAACTTAATGTAGAGTAATTGTGTCATTCTGATTTTAATTTTACTGTTTATCGTGTTTTTTTTCTGTTTATTATGATGTCTAATTCTAAAATTGTTATTATGTAATGATTTTAAGCGTTTGTTGTAACAAAAGTATTAGCAAACTTTTTATTTTTAGCACAATTACTTTTTTAATGACATTATTAAGATCAAAGAAAATTATAATTTTCTATTTTGATTGAATGAATTGAAACTAGTTGCCCGAAAATGATTCTTTCAATATTAACCGCCATTATTCTCTTAAGAACTGCACATAGTAATGTATCACATCACGATAGATCATTCTATCACATGGATGGTCTCTTTTATTCTACAACTATTCAGTTGTCGCAGGGTTCATTTCTGGACAGGATTGAAGTTAGTTCAACTGTCGATTTCTTTTTTTATTAATTTTTATGACAAATTTTTTTAAACCAATTGGTGCGGACAAAATTATGCACTCCATTGTGTAACAGTCTTTATATCTTTTTAGTATTGTGTCATATTACATTATGTTATGGTTATATCAAGTTATTTTGATCTGACACTTTCATTTTAAATTAATATGTTAATAAATCATTACTATTTAAAAAGAATTAACTTTTAAAATTTTGAATTTCTTATTGAATAAACTTTCTTAATATTTTTTTAAGTATTTGATCCACGAACAACATAACACGATAGAAAAGCCAGAAGACTCATTATTAATGAGCAGCCAAGCAAAGCATTCGACTCAAGGCACCAGTCAGTTTAACACGAGTACATTATCGCCACATGTGTTAATGAGCCGCCCACACATCAAGTATTACCAGGATATTAAGAATCTGAAAGGCAACATTTCATTACAAGTCCTGTCGCTATCGTTTGACTCCACCAACAATCTCCTTTTAATGCAAACTGCCGCCAAGGATGAGAGTCGTTTCACGCTCCTGATCGGATCGCTCTGTGGCAAGCTATTTTCGAATTATACACTGTTAGACTATAGTGACTTGCGCGATCGCAGAGACAAGTTTGAGAATATTTTGAAACTGGCATCTTCTGAAGTAAATGTAAAGGGAAAAATTCACAACTTGAGATCTAAGAAGAACGATTTACATGATAAAAACATTGATACCGAATCAAAAACAAACAATTTTCAGCAAAGCAACTTGAACCATCAGCTTGTTTTGTTATACAAAGAAGCGAAAAGTTTAGATTTTGCTAAAATTGGACCATTCGCGATTCACGATAAAAAAATTTTCTTCGTTTTACAAAAGTTTGATCTGTCTGATATAAAATTGAAAACCAACGTTATAGAGATTCGAGAGTTACATTCCAAATGCAGAGACGGATCTGAACTGGAATACCCGATATTAGCCACGGATAGTTTGTTTGATTTGCTGGAATGCTCCACTCACGTGTCGGAAATTGTTAAAGAACAGTACGTGGGTACGAATTCCTTCCGTCCATTGGATGTCTTACTTGTAGTGCCAGACAAGCAGGTTCTCTACTTCTTTATCCAAATTTTAAAAATTTCAAATATCTCGTCGACAGACTCAAGCAAAGCCTCATCCTTTATCGAGTCGATAGTTCAGCTGTACGCCGTTTCAAATCGGTCACAGAACTTCGGTGTTATCTATGAGAAGTTCATCGATTCATATTATTTCAAGTCAGATACATTATTATAAAATTTTAACACTTTTGGTTATACGAAATCATGAACTTTTTAAATTTTTTAAATACGAATCTAGACGAAAATTCATCTAATAATTTTATTTTAGTTAATAAGTTTATTAGTTTATTAGTAACAAAAGCAATTTATTGATAAATATCAGACGAATAAAAATATTTTTTTAAAACATTTAATCAACAGATTTCTTCTAAACCAACTGGGTGGTTTGAGTTACAAGAACAAGTGTTTATGCTGGGCAGCTATTGACCACATCGTCTGCGGTCGATGGATAAATGGTCAGCTGTCTGGGGTTCGAACGCATCTCGAAACTGGAAAGGCCAGCGAAGTTTGTGAAGGTATATACTTATGAGAGACGCAAAATGTTGTATCACTGTTATAAATGTTTTAGATTAAAAAATGTTAAACGTTTATCTTTTTTCATTCATGCAAGACATAAAATATAAGATAAACCACTCAAAAAGATGAACATTGATGTGAACGAAACAGACTTAAGAAGAATGAAGATAAACCACTCAAAAAGATGAACATTGATGTGAACGAAACAGACTTAAGAAGAATGATTTTAAAATAGTTGGCTGCATAATAATAGCCATCAAATGTGACATAATGATATTGAAATGATGAATCATAGCATGGAGGGTAAGGACAATCGAAATATGAATCACGTACAGTTGACTGAACCATCTCATGGGCACGATTGATTAAACCGTCTTCTATTTAGATCCTCTAGCGTTTAGTCAGTCGGATGGAATCAATATTCCAATATCAAGCTTATGCATGCTTGTTCATATATGCATGTGTATGTATGTGTGTGAGAGTCTGTTTGTGTGTGTTTGTGTGTTAGTCTGTTTGTGTAAGAATGTGTGTGTGTGTGTGTGTGTATGTGTGTGTGTGTGTGTGTGTGTGTGTGTGAGAAAGAGAGAGACCATATGTGTTGATGGAAAATATGTGAGAATGTGTATGAATATATTTTCTATGTGCCTCTGACTGACTCCTTATATGTTACGCTATTGAATGTGCATTTTCGTCTGTGAATGTTTATACCTGTTGAAAAATTACGTAACGACGTTTTTGGCACCTCTGATCTGATGTTTGTTTGTTTGTTTGAGGTTCATTTTTGCGCTCTGTTAAAGATGGGATGAACTTTTTATGTAGCTGTGAAAACCGAATGTTATTCTTTTTGAAATTTTTTTTTTATAACAATCTTACAACTTTAAATAGCCATTAGACACAGTAGGCAAAAGCACAAAAATTTATATTTAACGGCAATAAGCTCTTTATACAAATTTATTATTAATTTTTAAAATATACGAAAATACAAAATTATTATTACTAAAATTTTTTGTTCAAACCGCACAGTCTCAGAAACAGATCCGCCATTAGCCAACCTGATAACCGGCATATCAATAGCAAAAATGGAGTTTGGTGGTGAATTGGAAATATACTTCGGCTGTCTGGCCCAAACTGAAAACATGGGAGGATTGGGATTTGTCAGGTCGAACGAGAAGAAAGAATTGGTAAGTCAGGTGTTTAAAATTTCAAACGATAATGTGACGATACGAGCTGGCAGCATGTTGTACGTGGAAAAGTGTTTTGCCAGAAGTTCTGCATCTGTGGTAGTTGGCTTAGTGGGGCTACGTTTATTAGGGGTTTGTGTTTGTTTAGCTGGTTTTATTTTCATAATTTTTTAGTTTTTGTTATGAATAACAATTTTTATTTACCTGTAAATTCACCTTATTATTACATATATTTTTATTTTTTGTTAATTATTTATAATTTATTTGTGTCAAAATTTTTTTTCTATATTTTAAGATTGAAAAATTAAATTAATCGCTTACAAATCTGTAGGATTGCAAGCAACGTATTTGAATTCTGTAGAATTGATATTGGCTAATATAAAATTTTAGAATCCATGTTTGTATAGATTTATATCTTTGAATAATTTAATTTTAAAATTTTTGATCAAATAACGCCAACAAATTTTGTGTTGAAATATTTTTACATCAAAGATATAATTTCTAATCCAAACTTGAGTTTTTGAATTTCAAATATGAAAAGTAATAGTTTCAACTTCAAGTTAAACTTGAAAATGTACACACCCTTCAATAATTCACTCTGCTGCTATCTGAAACTTCCAACTAGCTTTCAATCAGTTTTTTGGATTCTTATGACAACCGCCGTTGTAGCAGTACGGTCTATCAGAGGTACATCTTATTGCCTGAGTGAAAGTTGAAATATGAATTTTTCTTACAAAAAAAGGATTGTTCACTCTTTTATAATAATTTAAACGATTAACCAAAAATCGATTATTTAATCAATCAAGCAATCATCCTATTAATGAATTATTGAACTAATCAACAAAACTATCCACAAATCAATTAAACGACAGTTCAAACAATTAACCAACCAACCAGCCATTTGACCAGTCAACCAACCAATCACTCAATCAGTCAACAAACCAGTCAACCAATCAGTCAATCAGCCAACTAATCAAATAACCAATCATTCAACCAACCCAACACGGATCACCGGTACATTCACATGTCTTGCACCCATTGGCATCCATCACATATCCATATTGGCAGAAACAGTCGAGGGTTGGACAAACTTTTTATAACATAAATTTAAATTTAATTATTTTTAATAAAAATGAAAAACATAAAAAGTTATTTTTGTTAATTAATGGTTTAACTAATTAAAAAATTATTTGAAATAGCATTTTAAGATGTATTTTTTCAAATATTATTTTTAATTCATTTTGAATGTTGTTAAACGAAATACCAGAATTTATGTTGAGAACAGAAAGCAATATTCATCAACATCTTAAAAACTCGCTCACTTCCATCATTCTACCATCAGTATCATTGTCTGTATCATCATCATCATCATCCAAAATATCCTCATCATTATCATAACAATTGCTATCTTCATCATCCTCTGAACCATCATCTTCCAAATCATCATCATTATGATCATCTTAATCATCTCAGTCACCATCATCTTCATCCAAAATAGTTCCGTGTCGGATCCTGCTTTCTTTGCTAATTCCTGTTTAGTCTCTTTACTTTGGAAGATGATTTTTGAAATTCTCAAGTTGATAACATCATTTTGATAATTTTGGATGTTTTTATTACTATAATTTACGCAGAATCGTCCATATTTTTCTCTTTCATGGTCTGGGAGTCATCTTCATCGTCATAACCATCAAAACCATCGTTTATCATTACACCACCAACATATTCGTCTTCATTGTCATCGTCACATCATCATCGTCATCATTGTCACTAAAATTACTAACCTTCTGTAGTCGCTATAATGAAGTTTGACACAGCAATCAACAAAATTGCAAATGATAACAAACTGGTCATTTTAATTCGTCAAAAAACCTCTGCAAAGTTTAATAAATTTAGAAGAATTATGATAATCTAAAAAAAAATAAATAGTAATAAATATATGTTGTTGCGTATGTACGTGTGTGTGTGTAGATGTGTATGTTTGTATGTGTGTGTATGTGTTTGTGTGTGTGTGTGTGTGTGTGTGTGTGTGTGTGTGAGTGTGTGAGTCTTACTTGATTGATTATACTTTAGAAAGTTACAACCGTTGAAGTTTTACACATAAATTCCTCGAAATTAAACACTCAACATTTAACATTAAACTCACAAGTGAGATATATATATATATATATATATATATATAGAGAGAGAGAGAGAGAGAGAGAGAGAGAAAGACAATAAAATGTGTGTTAGTGTATATAAAAAGAAAGACTCAGCGGATCTTAGCAGAGAGAGAGGAGAGATAGAGAGAGAGAGAGAGAAGAGAGGAAGAGAGGGAGACAGATAGGCAAAGAAAGAAAGAGAGTGAAAAAGATGAAAAAGGAGAAGAAACAGCATGTGTGCTTGCTTGTTAGCGTGTTTGATTATAATGACGAATTAAACCTACCTTTTATTTAGCTATAAAATTGTATTTAAATCACTTTTTGTTTTCCTCTCTTTCTTACTATCTTCCTCTCTCTTTCTCTCTCTTTCTCTTTCCCTTTCTCTCGCTTTCTCTAATTATCCTTTTTTTCTTTCTTCACTTTCCCTCTCTCTCTTTTTCACTTTTTTCAAGTTTAAATATAAACAAAATTTTTTACAATACTTTCAATGGCTCACTAATTCATAAGAGCCCCACTTGATACAAAATTATGTCAGATGAATAATAATGACTCAACGTTGCAATTTCATGTTAATATTTCACGTACTCATTTCAAATATAAATCATGGCATACATGGGCGTTTGTATGTGTTTGTATGTATGCGTTATGAGCGTGTGTATTTGTGTGTATGTGTTATGTGTGTGTAACCTATGTATATTGTGACAACAACAGAATGCGTGTGTGTGTGTATGTGTGTGTGTTTGCATATGTATATTTGTGTGTGTGTGTGTGTGTGTGTGTGCATGCATATGTATGTTATAACAAGAGCAGAATAACATGCAACGTAATCAATATATTACAAACATATCAATCAAGAAGGTTGTTAGTGAAGAATAAGTTACTCGCATCTGTCACTCACGTACGTACTTTTAATTGGCTGGCTGTTAAGATTCATCTGATGTTGTGGTGTTAAAAGTTATTTAAAATAGATGTAATTAATAAATATTATTTATCGTTATATATATATATATATATATATATATATATATATATATATATATATATCTTATATACATGGGCTAGTGATGGCTTAGGGGTAAGGTGTCTGGCACTGATATTGCAGTTGTCGGATTAGATTACAAAGTGATCCCCGCTTATAAAATATAGTAGAAGTATAGACAGTAGTAATTTTAGTCCTAACTGAATTGCAAAACTAATTTGATGGCATTTTAAATGAAAGTAATTTTTATAATTTTATCATTACTGCTACTATTATTACTATTATTTGATATCAAGATAGATAGATGCATACTTATACAGCATACAATATGTATTTAAACTACATAAATTATTAGTATTTATAAACATGTATGGTAAAAATATTATTTATTATTATTATTATTAATAATAATATTATTATTATTATCATTATTATTATTATTATCATGATGGCATTATTTGATGAAGTAAAAATGCGTCTACAGCATCAGAATTTTGTAATTCGAGATCATGTTCATTACCTCTACCTGTCAAAATAAATGTTGGATCGGGTCAACAAACTTGTAGAAATTGTTGTTGGTGGAGATGGTGTTGTTGTTGTTGTTGTTGCTACTGCTGCTGTTGTTGTTTTTGTAGTTTTGTTATTGTTGATGACGACGTTAATGTTGTTGTTGTTTTTGTAGTTTTATTGTTGTTGTTGATGATGATGTTGTTGATGTTGATGATGATGTTGTTGTTGTTTTTTTGTAGTTTTATTGTTGTTGTTGATGATGATGTTGTTGATGTTGTTGTTGTTGTTGGTGTTGTTGTTTATGATGTTTTAATGTTGTTGTTGTTTATGTTACCATTGACGGTGATGTCGTTGTCTATAATTTCGCGTTAATGTTTGAGTTATTTCTGTAAATTTTGTCGTTGTTTCTTCATTCTTGTTCATTTTGTTGACGCTGTTTTATTCTATACAATCGTCATATGGGAAAAAAT